GCGCACTTCTGAAGACTTTGAAGAATTACAAGGCATTAGCGATCTTGCACAGAAGTTGGTTGTGAAGAATAAACATGAAGTGTATCCATTAGTCTACAAACTTGTGACACTAACCTTAGTTCTTCCAGTGGCTACTGCTACAGTCGAAAGAGCATTTTCTGCGATGACTTACGTCAAAAATCGTCTGCGCAATCGAATTGGAGATCAATGGTTGAATGATAGTTTGATTGCATATATTGAGAAGGATGTTTTTGATAAGATTGAAAATGATGTAATTATTGAACGTTATCAAAGTATGAGAACACGTAGAGAGCAATTGTAATAAGATATATCTTATTTTAATTTTTTCATCACTTTTTTAAAAGTTCGTTACTGACCCCCTAGTCTAAAATGTCTGCGTCCGCCACTGACTCCCACTAAATTAATCTATCATTTTCTCCCTCCAGAATGACCATCCATGCCATTTAACTAAATTCAACCATTTCTCAAGCCACAAGCTATCCGCATCTCCTTCTTTGATGAAGTCATACCAGTAACGAAATCGGGTGGTATAGAGGTGAAATTGTTGTTAAGTAGGAGGGATTGGATGAAGACAAACCGACGAGATGCGAGAGTGACCAAGTGAGTTTAAGGAACATCATAACTGGCGAGATAATTGAAGGCTAAATGCAAAATTTCCTGGCTCGAAAATGTATCGCCCATAAGAAAATTAGGTAATGTCCCAGAAATATTAGCAGAATTTGCTAAAAATATTTGCAATGTCGAGGCACTCTTAAGACCATTCGGAATTCCTCAAGACAAAAATGGGTTATAATCCAAGTAAACTTGCTGTAATGAAGTCATAACAGTAAAGAAATCAGGTGGTATACAGGTGAAATTGTTGTTGTTGAGCAGGAGGGACTGGAGTGAAGACAAACTGGCTAGACTCGAAAGTGGCCTAGTGAGTTCATTTAATACAGTCCTTGAGAAATCGTTGATGAACGGGTGGTGGTGATGCCAATATTGGGTGGGTAATGGTGGCTGTAGTGGTTGGGTGGAGTTGTTTTGAATTTGGGGAAGAATGATATGGAGATGGGTTGTGACTTTATTTTTTGTTTTTTGTTTTTAAATTTTTTGATTTAATAGGAAAAAATGTGTTTTATCCAAAATGTCCCTATCTTATTTGGGAAAAATAATAAAGTTTTTTATTTTGGGAGTCAACTGACAGTTTTGGTAGTCAAACTAAGAAATCATTAATTTGGACTTGGGCTGGGAATTTTGGTACTCACGATAGCACAAATGAAATGTTTCGACAAAGTCTGTTAATGAACGAAATGTTTGGTACCGTGGTTGCAATTTTCCCTAACTAAAAGTACAAAAGAATAAAACAAAATTAATAATAAAAAATGCAATAAACTAAGGTTGGAAATTTACTATGGCCGTGTCCATCTCACAATTTCATCATTCTTCATCAATATATAAGATATGGATTTTGATACTTGCACACCGATGAGTAAAAAAATCGTGGGCCCCCCTGTTGTGAGGGGGTCATATCCCGGTGTACGAGTAGCATAGTTCATAAGATGTTCAATCTTGCTGAATATAAATCTAAATAAATTAATCAAGCTGCTAAACCTCTCATAAGCTATGACCCCCAAAAAAGAAGCCACAACTTACATTGAGAACAAGAAATAGTACTCCATCCATCCCATAAAAGATAAATTTGCTTTCATTTTCGTTTGTATCAAATATAGACAATTTTCCTTGTTGGGAGTATGATTGATTTTTTACTTTTTTTAATATGCTCATATTTAGTGTGTCTTATAAATATGAACTACTTTTATTTAAAATATTATTCAATTTGGTGTATATTGCAAAAATTATAAGAAAAATTTATTGCAGCAACTATTTAATTATATTTTTTTATGAAATTATAAGCAACCATATCTTTATTGGATGGAGGAAATAATAACTACTAACGCGCGGACAAATCAATACACATTTATCATAGTTTAATCATAGCTCCTCGCTCCATTCTTGATTTGGAAGAATCTGTTCAGCGTCTGTCCAAGGGGCCGATGTGGGGCACCACATTACCCCCTGTTCGATTAGTCTTTAATTGTTCCAACCATGAATTAGCTCAAAAGAACAGCTTTATTCTTTTCCAGAATTGTTTAGACATGAACGTCTATTATGTAGCAGCCACTCACCCTGCCCATTCTAACTCAGTTTGACTAGTCAGCAATATTAATTTCCCACTGCCAAATTTCGTTGATCATTAGAAGCCATTGAAATTAGAATCTGTTAACCCTTTTTTTTTTTTTTTTTTCCAAAATACATTTTGAAATGATATTTCGATGGAGAAAATGTGGTTTAAAAATATAGAAATTTTTTTGATTTGCGCATAATATTATTTTATTGAAAAATGTGTGATTGAAAATAAAAGAGGAAAAATGTATTTTGGAAATAATGAGACCAACGAAGGGCTTAACAATGAATGGACGGACCTTGTACAAACTGACTGGATTTCTATAAATATACCAAATCAGTTGGAGGATGAACATCCAAAATACTATGGAGTTTGAACAGGAAGAAGTACTAGAACCAATGAGTCCTGGTGCTCAATATCTGAAGAGCTCAGCGTTATCACTATATATTGTAGGTGTTATGGAACTAGAAATACCAATTGATGAGTCCATTTACATGCCATTCCTCAGAGAATTATTCATACCCATAAATCATCGCTTTTCCTCAATCATGGTGAGTTATATGATGTTCGTCATTTTTGTTTTTAAGGTTGAGGCACGACCATGGTAAAATAGGGTTGCACGTTACTAGTGTTCGAGAATAAACTAAAACGTTTTATTATAATACTTTGACAGACATATTTTGAGACTGTATTTCATCCAATAACTAGTTATCGAAAAGATAATTATAATATTTGTAACTAGGTGTATGCAAAATGTTGAGTTAATAATCAAGAAGTGATTTTTTGTACTCCAAGCAGGTTTTCAAGGAGAGAGGAGAAAAGAAATGGAAAAGGGTGGAGGTAAATCTAAAAGATCATGTAAATGTACCAGTTCTTCCCAGTGGCTTGTCAACTGATTATTACGATGAATGTTTTAATGAGTATTTATCAAAACTAGCATGGGAGCAACTTCCAGAAAGTAGACCTTTGTGGGAAGTCCACATATTTAACTACCCAACAAAGCATGTGGGAATGTGATATTCAAATTTCACCATTCACTTGGAGATGGCTATTCCATAATGGGAGCGCTTCTGTCTTGTCTACAAAGACTTGACAACCCTTCTATGCCATTAACATTCCATCGCGCCAGTCTAACTCGAAGCCTAATCGTCACAGCCATGGTTTTCTGAGGCACATGAACCGGTTTTTTCCCGGGATGATTAACACTGCATACGATTTCGGATTTAATCTCTTGAAGAGCAGTTTGATTGAAGACGATAAATCTCCTATCAGATCTGGGCATGGGGTTGAGTGTGGACCATTTTCTATAACTACAATTACCCTTTCACTTGAACACATCAAGCAAATCAAGACCAAGCTTCAAGTGGTAAGTTCATAGGGCTTCTTATTCTTTCTTGTTTCCTAATTTTCTTTTCTCATTGTTTTCGCTATTGTAAGTTCATTCATTTAAGGATTGCATTACTTTCACAGACGGTTAATGACGTGATTACTGGGGCGATCATATTTGGAACCCGATTATACATGCAAAGAGAGAATCAAGATTCAAGTAAAGCGAGCAGTACAGCACTTGTACTACTCAACACTAGGGCCATTGGAGGTTACAAGTCAGTAAGTGAGATGATCAAACCTAATGCAAAAATGCCATGGGGTAATCGTTTTGCATTCTTGCATGTTTCTATTCCCAAATTGACTGCCTCTGAGTTGAACAATCCCCTCAAATTTGTTAACAAAGCCCGCCAATTTGTCAAGCGGCAAAGAAATTCTGCATCAGTTAATCTGACGCGTCAGTTTCTTGACGCCATCACAAAATTTAGAGGTCCTGAGGTATGTACAATAATTTTATATATAAAAAAGCTTATTTTCATCTCATGTTTTACAAGAGTTTGAAAGTTTACATTTTGGGTTCTTTTCTAGTTTCGCACGAAAAAAAGTTCGTTAGTCACTATAATATGATCGATATAATAATTATAGAGTCCGTCACTAATTTCTCAAAAAATTAATCGCTAATTAGGGATGGCAAAAAATCCCACCCCACTCCAAATGGGGCAAAAAAACCCACCTCGAAAAGAACCCGCCCCGTGAAGATTAAAAAAAAAAGAATAAAAATAAATATATTTCTAGATAGTTTACCGGCTAAAGACCCATTTTAAATTTGTATTTTATTATCTAATTATAATATAACTCGAAATTTTGAAAATGTAAGAAAATAATAAAAAATAAAAAAAATTAAATGGGGCAAAAAGTTGCCCCTAACCCACCCCGCCCCGCCCCATCTAAGGCGGGGCGGGGGTGGGATTTTGGCTTTTTGGGGGGGGGGGGGGGGGGGGTGGGATTTTGGCTTGACGGGGCGGGGCAGGAACCCGCCCCGTTGCCATCACTATCGCTAATGGAGTCTTGAGGAAGACAACAGTTTTTGTCTTTCTTTATTTTTATTTTTATATGTATGTACTTTTTTCCTCACTGATGTTGAACCCTTGTTAAGCTGTCTAGAGGGAATAACTCTTCTTAAGCCCTTGTTTAATAACTATTCTTTCAAAACACTTTTTTCCTTATAATTATCTTTAGTCACACATTCCCACAATAAAATATTTTTCCACATAAATCCAAACTTTTTCCTACTTTTTAATTATATTCTCCAATAAACTATCATTCAAAGGCTCAGTTTCTTCAAAAAGTGGTCAGCTAATTAAGAATGTCTCAACTAGATAGATTCACTTATTTCAAACATCTCTTTGGGTCATGCCTTGGTTGCAATAATCCAAAAACTAATACAGTATATTTTACACTCACCATGTTAAAACTTCTTAATGATAATCTTTCAGAAAATTTACTATCTTAAATAATTCGGGTTTGATGCAACAGGCAACTGCTCGGTACATCTACGGCAAATTAAATAATTCCAGCCTGATGATATCAAATATGATTGGGCCGGTGGAACAAATGGCTTTAGCTAATATCCCAATTAAAGGATTGTACTTTACAGTGCCTGGAATACCACAGGTATTGTATATTGCCATATAAAGAGTTTTTCTGTAATTTTAGCTTATAATTGTAAAATTAGATTCTGTTTCAGATCTTAGATATAGACATCTAGATTCTCGAATGAGATTAATTGATTTAGTCTCTTTGATATGCTTGATAGAGGTTTGATTTTATTTTTTAATTTTAAAGATGCAATTTTATATATCTGCATTGAATCAATTGTTTCTTCATGACATGTTGTGCATGCTGAATTATGCAGAGTCTTCAACTAACAATTGTGAGTTATGTGGAAAAGCTGAGAATTGTCATGTCTGTGGAGAAAGGTTTCATCGATCCAAATAAGTTCAAGTCATGCATTGAATATGCCTTTGAGGCAATTTCTAAAGCAGCACTAGAGTGAAGCTCAAACTATATTGTAGCCTTAAAATAATTTCTGCTTTGTTTTAAGTTCATTTAGAATTTGATCGGATACTAAAATTTGGATTGGATTACTAAATAACTTAAGGTTGTGTCTTATTAATCTCTTCTAGTATTTGTTTGATTACAAATATATGTCGATATTATCCACTTTCTCCATGCCCTCTATTGAAATGTCTAAAAGGAATTTACTCTTTCATCTCTTTTTAGTTCTTGAAGGAAAAATAATTTCTTTCCTAGAATTTTGGCTTCTTTGTTAGGACTTGAGTCAAAAAACACTTTAAAGAAAGACATATCTTATTAGAAAATGTGCAACCGCTTCAAGAAGTTGAACAATTGTATAATGGGGGCAATAGATGATACTTTAAGTTTGTTTTGAAATTTTACTTACTGCGTTGACGTTCTAATGCTATAAGAATATACACAATTTTTTAAATTATTATAGAAATCTTGGTCTCTATGCATTGTAATATTTATCTACTATAAAGAGCGTGCTATAGAAGTGAACTCAAACCCTTTCTGCATACGATTCATTCTTGTTTAATACTGGTACCACAATCCCCACTCACACAAATACATAAACAACATTGCTTAGTGAATATTTTGCCGAATCTCATACTCACTTTATCAATTTCAAGACAAAGTTGGTCTTAGAATGTAACATGAGAAACACCACCATAGAAAATGAGCACCCTTGGTAAGAACCCGTTTACGTCATTGATAGTGAATTTCAACATCTATAATTTTAGTATTTTTCTATCTAAAAAATAAAGATAAATGAATTGGTTGCTTTGAGAATTGGTGTACTAAGCTTCGACTGGCTTCCGTTAAAAGGCCATCTAATCAGAGAAAGTTCCTTAAGAAAATTATATAACCTGACTCAAAAACCATTTTTTTGGTCTCAAAAATAACTTTTGATAACTCAAAAACATCTTTTTTCCTTGCCATGTAAACATTTTATTGAGATATAATACACTTTTTAGTGCAATTCATAGCCTCATTGAAAAACATTGACAACTTTTTTTATCGAAAACTTTTTTTTTTTTGTTTTTTTGTCTCAAAAATGACTTTTGATGACTGAGGATGCCTAGTACATCTTTTTTCATTGTCATGTAAACATTTTACGGTGATATAATATACTTTTTAGTGCAATTCATAGCCTGATTGAAAAACATTGAAAACTTTTTTTATCGAAAACTTTTTTTTTTTTTTGGGTCTCAAAAATGACTTTTGATGACTGAGGATGCCTAGTACATCTTTTTTCATTGTCATGTAAACATTTTACGGTGATATAATATACTTTTTAGTGCAATTCATAGCCTGATTGAAAAACATTGAAAACTTTTTTTATCGAAAACTTTTTTTTTTTTTTGGGTCTCAAAAATGACTTTTGATGACTGAGGATGCCTAGTACATCTTTTTTCATTGTCATGTAAACATTTTACGGTGATATAATA